CTGTCAGGGCTAAAAAGGAATATTTTGAAGTGTTAAAGTAATACATTTCCCACAAAATAACCATTTGTATTTGAATAACTCACCCGAGTAACCTTTATTTTGTATGCATGCTTCTATTGTAAACAAACAGACCAAAAGAGAAGAAAAACCTGATGATTTGAAATAAATGGTAGCCAACTTCCTACAACAGAAAACCATATAAATCTTTATTTTAATTTATTTCATTTTCAATTTCACTCATCCAGTCGTATGCATACTACTTCACAAAAAGATTCATTTTCAGTGAAGCCTTGCTGTTCAAAACACTTCTGTACAAACAGTCTCACGCTAGCACAGCTATATAATTCCAAGTTTTAAATAGTATGTTTTCAGTGAAAATTGCATGCGAGAATAACTAGGATTCAAGGTAACCCTGGGTGAGTAATTGAAACACAAATAGTCGTTTGGAGCGTGGAGTATTTCTTTTAATTCAGCCTCAGTGATGCTTAGAAATTAACCAAGCTGTGGCTATTTCATTTTTATCAGAACAAACAAGTGTGCTTTCGGGTGACCAGAGCAGATGAAAGTGTCTCATCATGCAGGGCCACTGAATATGCCTCTAAGTGGTTTTTAACACACTGGAGGAGCATTATACCCGAGCTGTAGAAGAGCCTGAGAAGGGCTGCATCCGCTTACGCACATTATCCATGAGAGCATGCTGCTTCTTGGCTTCCCTTCACAAAGGTTGGTACACAGGGTCAGAGAGAGTGGGAATGAGAGATGTGTATGCTTACACCCTCAGATGAAGCACTGCTTATACGCGAGTACATTTTAGTGCCCGTCTCTCTATGGCGACCTGCGAGTCTGTGCCTACTCAGTATCCTGTCCTCTACATTGATTGCCTCCTCTAGAAACCGACTGAAAAAGCTCTCCCTATTTTCTGCTCTGGCAGTTATTAAACCGCTACAGCCTCGCCTGGTTAGCTCAATGCTATACATATAGAAGCATATTTATCGGTCTCGACTGTAAAGTCCTCTGTATTTCATCCTAAGTCCTTTCAGCCGCTCGACGGAGAGCTGACATGCAGCTACAATATGCACCTACTGAGTCATGAGTTTTTAAGATTATGATTTAGTATTATAATCACAGAATGCCTTCTGGCCTGTGAGCTAACCAGACCAGACATAATAAGCTGCTCCGTGCTCATATTTTATGCTGAGGTGAAGTTGCGGTGAGTAGCACGGATACTCGCGTAGCTGGCCCTGCGCCGCTGGGGCTGTATCTCTGGAGATTAGCATGCCAAATAGATCTGACCCGTCGTCACCTTACACTCTCTCACCGCTGTCTACATCTTGTCATTGGAAGGCACATGATTCATACCAATGATTTGATTTCAGACAGAGGGAAGGGCTTGCGTGGTTGTATATCATATTAGCCCATCATATCACTGTATAACAAGGAAAACACAATCAGTTCATAAGCTATTGCGAATTAAAGGTTATTTTCACGCTTATTCTACTATGATGTCCATATCAAGTTAAGAAACATCAAGCCAGTGATTCTTACTGTTATTTATTTATTCCAGTATCATATGATCACTGTCAACAAGCATGGGATTTTAGGGCCCTGCTATCAGAGGAAAGCCAAGCAGCATACAAGTAGATAGATGGGTCAAATGTATTAATTGATACTCTTGCTTGGCTTTACAGATAACAAATACAATCAACATCATTTTGACAAGGTGTAACTAATTAAGTCAAATAGATCAATTACAAATAAAACTGAAATGATCTGTCTTGCCATACTCTTCCCTGTCCACCACGGCTCTTTTTGCTTATTGACAAAGGATTTCTTAATGAATATAAACAAGACTAAACCTAGCTCAGTCTACAGGTAGTAAGAGAGTCCCTCAGTCTCGGTATAAAAGAAAGCTTACACATATTCACGCCACAGAAAAAATAAATGCAAAACATTGTTGACTGCTGCTCTTGCTTTGGCCGGTTAGAACATTCTAACATTCCCTTTCTTTAACATCACATACAAACGAGTTTAAGAAAATCAGACACAGTATATTTATAAGTGTCGATATTTGTTTCTCTTCAATGTTCTTGTAATTTTATTTCAATCATTCACTTTGAACATATAATGGAGTTGTTAATCCAACATTAGCATCCAGGTGGAAATGAACCTTGAGCATTTGCATGATATTCCATCAGCACATGGTTAACGAGAGAGAAGCGGCCTTGATGCTGCTTTGTTCAGTGAGTAGACATTATTACATTTTCTTTCCTTTGTGACACGTAGCACTCACAATTACATCCCCTAAATTAGAGCTGTTCATTTTGTTTTGAGGGTGTATTTGCCTGAAGCATCAGTTAACTCAAACAATCATATCAGTTGCTGTTATCAGATGTATAGACAGCCCTGTGGAATACTCTCAGAGTGCTCTTTACTACAACTGCATCAGGATCTGAGCCAATAGTTACAGAGAGAAATGTCAGCCTTTCCTTGTGGATCCACTGGTTCACATCAGGGCTCATTTCTTATTTAGGGGAACCTGTCACAATGTCTGGGTGACACTACAGTACACTGCTTGTCAACTAGGTCAAAAAGATTCATATTTATTGTTTATTGTATTCGAGGAGTTGAGACATGTTTTTTATAAGCTGTGGAATAATAAGCCCTAGTGATACAAAGTGAACTGGATACATCCAAAGAAGAAAAAAAGAAAATGTCATAACCTTAAATTACATTGCTTTGTTATGGACATTTGCTGACACACCTATTAACTAGGGAAAGAAGTGCGAGAGTAACTGCTGTCAAATGTGTCTTTACTGTAGGTGCACATTGCCGCTCATACCCAAAAAAAGAAATACATTTTTTGTTAAAAGGGTGTCACATTGGAAAGAAAATAGTAATATTAGGAAATCATTTATGGCTATACCAATGAGTACATTCTCTGAAAAGTGTGCATGCTACACTAAAAAAGAATACTAACATATTAAGAGGAACATCTAAATGATCAGTGATTGGGAAATTGTTAGAATATCACAAACACAGCTGGAGTCATCTCCCAAAATGAGGTGATCTGAGGCTGGGTCTGCTCTCTTTTTGGAGGCTACAGTAGCTCCCCCTCAATTTTCACATTTGATATATCAAAATGTACTTCTCTTTCAGCTGTTTTTTTTTCCTCACTCTTGAACTAAACTCCAAATCGGCAATCTTTTTGAGATTTACTGTCTGGACAACTTCATTCTATAAACGCACCGTCAGACACCCACTCGTGTTAAAAAGGTCGTTGAGGTCTGGAGGTGTTGGGGGAGTGGAAGGTTTGACCTCATCTATTCTATCAGTTTAGGATAAGTGAAACCTACATTTCATGTCTTAAGCCTAGCGGTGGGACCAAGTCATTGATTTGCTAGTCCCAAATCTTTCCAGTTTTGCACTGTTCAACCCGCCTGTTTTAGATACTGCTTTTCGTTTCTTTGGAGAAACGTCCCAGTTTTTTTTCTGTAGTTTTGAATTTTTACACAACAAAATGATCTACAGTATGATTTTATACAACTGGTGCTCAGATACTTAAATGTTGGTTCTTCATGGTTCTCTCCTGCAACTTGATTGGTGGCTGTCCGATTAGTTCAATCAAAGCATGTTTGGGAAATGTAAGTGTTTGCTTGCTGGTAATCAATAGTGTTAAATGTAGTTGATTCAGAAATGAAGGGAAAATAATGTATGTGCGCCATTTCAAGGCCAAATGAAGTCGCCCGACAGTGACGTTAAATTCCAAGTCAGTTTGTCTTTTTTAAGTCTTTTACATTTGCCCAGTTTTGTCTTAAGTTACCAAATGTGGGACTCAAGTTAAAGTCTACTTAGCCTACCCCTACTAGTGTAATGTGGAGATACCATTTGTCTATTTGGGCTAATTTCTACCTAAAATGCTCAGGACACTTCTTGTTAAGAAGACACCAATGAATCATTACAACCAAAGATAAAAGTTTAATGTCTCAGTTTCATCCCATCTAACTATAATATCATGTGTTGCATCATGGTCATTGCCATCTCCCCAGTGTCTCTTGTAGTTTGAGTAGTTGTTATGATCCTGGAAGCCTTTTAGACCCCCACTCAAGGTCATGAGGGGATTGTGAAAAACATTAGTTAAGCTTGGGGGAGGGTGAGGGGGGAGGAGGGCTTTTGGAGAGCTTTTCCATGTCTTCGTCTTTGAGGGTTTTTTTTCTTTAATTGTTTGGGTCCAGAGCTAGCTTCTCAGCTGGAGCTTGTCTGTGGGGCTTTGCTGAGTCACTCCAATCTAATGGAGAACATCTGCTGCCATGCTTTTTACTACTCACAGCAGAGATATATGTGCCTGCCTGCGTGGGGGAGGGGGGTGGGGGGGAATTAGCGGGATAGAACAAGCTGCAGGCAGGAAATAAAGACAATGTTATGGTTTAAGGTGCTCTTATCTGTCGGCATTGTCACGGCTTCTTTGTACTGGAACCCCATCCTCCACTGCCTGTACTTTGATGATACTGTACAGTACATAGCTTTTGTTATCTGTGCCAAACTTCTGTTCTTTTTTATTGGATATTATGGCCTTGACCTTCTTAAGTAGAAGCATATTTTCTCCTCACTTTTATAAGTTGCAATATGTTACCAGATACATTGTTAAAGCTAATACTTGTAAAACAATACACTGCATCGATTCTTTTTGACAACTTGAAATATCAGAATTCAAAGAAATAAAATGAACTGATTAATACCTTTTTATTTTAGTCAAGGTTTTGATGTCCTTTAATCTTTTATATATAGAGTAGATTGACAATGAAATGATCAACCAAACATTATGTTTTTTCGTTGGTAGGAAGAAGTTGTTAGTAAATTGGTTATTTCTTGTATTGTGCATAGTTTTCTTGTATCTAATATCTCTAATAAAGTCGGAATTCTATTGTAACTAATATCAGTTTTAGCTCACAGTAGACAGTCGATGAAATATTAATGTTGACTGTCTTTTCTTTTCCCAACAGATCTTTCTGTAGTGTAGTCCAGGGCATCTGCTGCAGTCATGTTTAGGAACAGCTTGAAGATGTTGCTGACAGGAGGGAAGGCCAACCGCAAGAGTCGCAGCAGCGGTGAGTCTCTCTTCTGATGCCAGCCACAAACCGTGTCATCTGCCTGTCAGCGTGCAGGTGTTCACTAGTTCTGGGTGTATTTTTAGGAAGGAGGAACATGCAGCTTTCAGAAGCGGAAAAGTATTTTGGTTCTTAATGACTAATCTATGACTACTGAAGACCCCTTTTTTTTACCAAAAATAGATCCAAACCAACTCATCAGTTGTGATGCTTGAAAAGCTTTACTTCCTGTTGGGACTCAAAATATGGCTTTATGATGCAATGTCTTGCTAAACTGTGAAGATTTGAACTGTATCTCATATCGCATACTTCTGCACCTACGTTTGCTGTTTTGAGTGCTCGAGTGCAACCCAATGGGAAGTATGGCAAAATGCAGTGCACTATCAGTTGCCGGATGATGCACTCATAATTGTCAACAAGTTGAGTGAGGAATGCTGGACGTTCCTCTTACACGCCCGCCTACGATTGCAGTTGCTTCTGTGAATACAGCACTATACAAATACAAATGTTTTTTTCCACAATTTAAGTAACATACCGCTATACTGGTGTCAAAATAGGGCCTATGCACAGAATGCAGCTATTCAATGAGAGTTCCCGTTAGCCGGTAATTACCGGACTATGACCGGTAAAATATGCTGAAAACCGGCAAATCTAAATCTCTTCGGTCAAAGTGTTCGGTCAAAATAATTTCCCCTTAGCGCAATACCGCATCAGTTGTGCCACTTATGTGAGAGACAAAAGAGTATGTGACAGACAAGAATAGTCAATTCTAATGTCTAACACTTAATGTGGAGAAAGAGATGTCCTGTATGGGTTGATTGTGCGTTGATCTGTTGGTAATGCCTCGGGGTTCTGGTTCCGGTGGGCATGTAAACAAATGCATAATGCTGCGCTATACTTTGTGGCCTCACCCGGTTGCATAGCGACGCTTATTATTTAGGTGTCTTAATAAGCAGGTATTCCTATCATTAGCTAGAACTAGCTGGATCTGATCGATATGGACATAAACGCAAGTAAAGTCTAATCTGACGGGAGAGAGAGATCAGCTGCTGTTGACGAGTCGACACACAGCTCTGCATAATCACCTGCAGCGGTGAGCGAGCAACACCTATGAGCAACACACACACTTCAGGTTAGAATATCACACGTAGCTATTTTAATTACCTCTCAAACTACCTAAACTACTTATAGATATGTTTAGTTTTACTGTCGGGTCACTCATTACTGGATCCGCGAGCTGCATGATACTGGCGGGCTGTCAGGAGAGGGAGAGAGCGCTCCGTTTATTATTCCCGTGTTATTATAAGTTAATGTACACTTTTGAATAGTTAATCTACTATAATTAGTTTGTTTAATATCGAATCATATCAATTTGTTTTAAAGCTCAATAAATAACAAAGAAGACCTTTGACCGGCACTTTTCAAATTTTGTCCGGGAGATTTGAACTTTAACGGACATGTTGACCGGCGAAAAAATATTCTAACGGGAACTCTGTATTCAATACTCATTCTTGTTTAAGAATATGAGCATGTCTACTCAGGGGAGAGGCGGGTGCGGAGGGTATTCACAATCAGGCCAGCTGTAGAGAAGACCCTCTCAGCTGGAACGGATGTTGCGGGTATAGCAAGTGAACTGTTAGCACCGGAACCTTGCAACGGGGTAACTGCGGAGCGCATTTGGTCATAAGATGAGGTTTGAGTCTGCGTGATCTGCGTGTAGGGAGGGGCAGCAGCCATATCGTTAGCTAGATCTGATGGATTTGGACATAAACGCGAGTGAAGTATAACCGGACGCGAGAGAGAGAGAGAGAGAGAGAGAGAGAGATCAGCACCTGCAGCTCTGCCCGCTGTGAGGGACCGGTGAGCGGAGCAAAACACACCTTTAGACCTAACACACTTAGCTATGGCACTGTCGTATCCATTGAATTATTCCATTTGATAATATGTAATCAACTTAGGAACCCCTCCCAAAAACAAAAATTAACCATAAAAATATTCATAACTCATATTCGAATACCTGAATAATTTCGAATATTCGATGAATCATTCCCATCCCTAATAGGAACACTACTGTTCAATGATCATTTGCTGTGCTATCAGAGCTGTGATAAAGGCAGAGAGTTAATCTACTAGCAAAACAAACTCAACTGTTCCTGCAGGTGTTTCGACAAAAAATACTTAATTGTGTTATTTATTCGATTATCCATTAATAATTTTTTTTGCCGTTAATCTGTGTCCAGCTCATGTTAACTAATTCATTGTATTACTAATAATTATTATGATATACAGCTGGAAATTTGAGACAAATGATTCATATAAATTGCATAAAATCATGCCCTATACTTAAAGGTTATAGGCCTGTTTTGTCCCTTTTTGTTTTCCATCATCCTTCGACAGTTACATTCAATTGTTACATTTAATTTAATATGCTATCAAAAATGTCTTTAAAAGTCTTAAATTGAGTGAACTGCACAGACAGTTCTCACCTTTCTCTCTGTGTGCTTCAAAGACCAACATGTACTTTCCCCCACAGTCAGGTTAAATAACCTTTAAATCACAGCAGCCATGTTACTCTCGGGTCCTTGTTAAAACCACATGAAACCTTTTTTGTTCCTACACATGCATTACTGTCACTGAGGCTGTTTAAAGCTGTCACTTAGAGGAGCAGGGCTTTTGATGTGGTAGATAATCCCGGCCAATAGCAGCTCTTGGGAGAGCTCGGCGTGTTCACTTTGTAACAGCGCAGTCACTCTCATCTAAATCTAATAATTTTTGGGTTATTCTCAAGGCAATGCGACAACCTTCCGCTCTCTTATTCTTTTTCTCGTCTCCCTAGAATAGATTCTGTATTATGGTATGAAAAGTGGATTCTGAGGGCTTTCGTCCAGCCGCCCACTCCATCTGCACAGATGAAATATTTTGTAAAGCTAGAAATATCCAACAGTACAGGAGGTCATTGTTTTGTCTCCACTTCAGACAAAAACATATAGATGTGTTAATGAAAATATTCTGTGCAGTGAAACATTGAATCGAACGGAATCCAGGCATTAACTTGTTTAAAAAGAAGCTCAGCAGAAATACAGTGTGAAGTACTTAATTACTTCATTGTAACAATACTTATACTTTCTGACTAGGCTTCGATTCCTTGACTTGTTTTTGTTGACATTTGACTTCATTCTCATGATCATTCATCATTTTAAATCCTGTTTAGTTCTCATGGAGGTCAGTATCCATCATCTGCATGTTGAATACGAATGCTGTGCTAAAGCTTTCAAACAGTAACTGCATTTAATAATTGTCAGTAAAATCACTTTTCTCACAGCCAACATGCATTGATTACATTACATTACATTTAATTTGGCTGACGCTTTTATCCAAAGCGATTTGAAATAAGTGCAAAAATCCTTGAGATTCAAACCGACCAAAAGTGGAAGGAAAGTGCAGATATATTCACTTCCAGCAAGTCATACCATTGTAAGTGCTGGTGAATTAGTTATAAGGCCTAAGCTAACTCTTTTTTTCATTTTTTTTTTCATTTATATAAACACTACCACCCCAAAATATGACAACAAAAAATAAGATTGCATTCCAATTTTTGACAAAAAGCTGCTTCAAATGATTTCATTTTGGGCAACAATAATCATAATTAACTACATCCTATTGGGACTGCTCTTCAAGTAGTTTATATACACGTAGAATATTAAACATTCCGTCTGTTCATTCATTCATTTATTATGAGATGTCCTTCCCTGCAAGGCTCCATGGCTAACCGCTTCCTGCTGTACACAAACACACTGTGCCTTCAGTGTGTTTGTGTATTTGTGTGTGAAGTGGAGAGTAGATCCAGCAGCAGCAGCGCGTACCCTCCAGTGTTTTGGTATCTGTTGCTGTCACTTTTTCCTCCTCCCAGCAGACGAGTGATGATCTCACAATCTGGCCGCTTCACTGAAACATCTGTATCCCGCAGTTTCCTGCAGTGTGCCTGTACACACTGGATAGAGGCACACACTGCCACTTTTAATGTTTATTTAAAGACACCATTTACACATTTTCATTATTATACCCACCTGCTCTCCAAGGAGAACTAGAAAGCTGTTTTTAGCAACTCTGACTCCTCTGCTAACGACAGACAGGGAGCGCTAGTGAGCTACAACCCTGCTGTGGGAGTAGCACTGATGACTTGCCAGGCTAAAAACTCTCCCTATAAGTGTGGATGCACTAGCTGCTGAAATTGGTCTTTAGTTCAAGTGTGAGATTGTGAGATAAGACGAGTTCTCAGTGTTTGATGCAGTTTCAAGTGAGCTTCTGGCTTCAGGAATGCCGGACCTCTGAAGGGGGAATATACCCTCTAATCTGGAGACAACATATGTCTGCACTAGAGGCATTGTATCAGCCCCAAGTTACTAAACTGATGAATGGCGTTTTTTAATTGAATAACACAGATTAGCTGCTCTGATTGCGATGATGTGGAATTGTTTAAATCTGTATTGCAACACACTCAACGAATAGGCTGTTGATATCTCTCTAGCAACTACTAGAGCTAGATTGAGCCTCAAACTGCTATTTATACAGATAATAGACTTCTATAAGACGCTGCTTCACTGTTTTGTCCTTTGAGACACATTATCACACCTGTAGTTTGTTTGATTTGCTTCTGAACAAAGGACACAACACGATTCGTTGTTGCCTATTTGCTTTTGTCTGGTTTAGGTTCACACTGATGCTTTAGAAACCAACAAAACAAGAGCTGTAAGCATCATGTCTATTCCTTTGATTAAACCCAGTATTTCACAGTTGCAAATAAAGACTATGCTACAACATAATTATTAGTATGATAGTTCTTTAGAATTAGAATCAGGAGGTGGCTGACTCAAGCATTGTAAAGTCCAAAGGTCAACATTTTTTTAAAGAAAGATAGATGTCATCATTTAGAAAATGAACATCATGTTCTTTTCCAACAAAGTTTTCTGCTTCAATCTACAAACAACCTTTTCACTGCA